AACTGTTTCCATTTCCTGTGGGAAGGACCACACTGCTGCTCTGACAAAGGTGAGTCAACAACAGTTAACAGGCTCACATAAAATTTTACCAACAGAACAAGCAGCGAAACAATTAAATGCTGACTATGATTTAAATGAGCTGTGATTAAAACATTGATAGATGTCAGAAGATGTATTTTGTGTTGAACTCAGTATTTCAGTTGTGGTCTTTGTCGTTGTTTCCTTGTTTATTTCCATAATCTTTGTTTTTTGTTTTCTTTGCACATCTTTCAAATTACTTCACGCTTTAATTTGAAGGTTGTTTTACAGGAGGAAATAATAGATGAATGCATGATATTTGATATACACTCGATCTGTGTCTTATTTTGTTTGTTCAAAGTTGACTCCAGTTATTTATATGGACGTTTCTTTTATTTGTCTGTTTTATAATTTGAAAGAAATTCCAGTACTTTCATGCCATCATTGATCATTTTGCATTAACCTCCTAAGACCCGAACTCTTCCACGGCATGCGTTTTTAACTTCTCTTTGATATTTGGGCTGATTGGGACCTGATTAATGTAAAAACAAAGAATTACCAGATTTTTTTTTAACCTGATTTTTGTTTCTAAGAAAAATAAGAGCCACATATGAGGACATTCGTTTAAAATTTCGATAGATCAGTGGCAGTATAATGTCCTCGTAAGTGGATATCAGGCCCTTGTAGAGCAAAATTGAGTATTTTGGTCTAAATAAAATGTGATGTCCACATATGTGGACGCCAGGTCCTAGGAGGTTAATTATGAAAGCGCCTTTTTGTTTCTTATTCTTTGGCTTCTGATTGCTTTTCCACAAACTCCTGAGATCATATGTACATGGCAAAAATGAATATGGACTGTTGTCTGGTTCTCAGGACGGTGCAGTGTTTACATTTGGCTCTGGTCAATATGGACAGCTTGGTCACAACTCGTTACAAAATGAACAGCGTCCTCGGCTTGTTGCAGAGCTCTGGGGGGCAAAGGTCACAAAGGTTGCATGTGGGAGGTAACATTTAATTATTATTATATCATAAATAATTGAAAAAGAAAAGCGTTTACTGCTGAGCGAACGGAAACTTCAACTTCTGTCTTATATCTTCAGAGTGATCATACTGAGGTCCAACAACAACACAGATGTTTAAAACCTTTGAAAAAGCATGTTTTACATTGTGGACTTTCCTTTTCGTGCACTCTTTTCTCAATCAGCTATCACACACTGGTACTGACAGAATCCAAGAAGGTGTACTCGTTTGGGTGTAATGAACAAGGGCAGCTGGGACGTGGAGAAGAGACTCAGGCATCAGTGCCACTACCTGTGCAACTGCCACATGGTAAATACATTTATCTGAACAGAAGAGTCGATTCAGTTTACAATTACACAAAAA